CAATTTAATTACAACTTGATTTGAAAAACTACGTTATTAGTGAGGTCCATATTTATTGCATAAAATTGAATCATTTTATATTTTTGTGTGTTACAGCACTAAGAGTAAGGAACTGACCAAAAAACATTCAAAGTATAATACATAAGAAATCCAAGCAATAATTGGTTAAATTAATTACAATATTTATAATATTTTTGTTTACATATTTTATGTGCTTATATGTTATTAAGGGACCAAACTGCAACTAATATAATGCTTGGAGACGGCATGAATGGTTAAGGAAGAAAAACTTTAATATAGGTTTAGCAAATGTACAACGTTTCGACAAGGTTTTGTCATCATCAGGTCATCGAATTTGCAACTAATATAGTCATGGACCCTCAATTAAATTTGGTGTATGAATATTTCAGAAAAATGTATTTAAAAAGAACGTTGTTCTTTCATTGGCGGGTTTTTTAAAATAACATGGGAAAATAATTCAAAGTCTAGTCTATGCAGACGATAAAAACATTAATTTCTTTCTTTCTTAACGTTTTACAAACTTGAAATATGTGGAATTAACAGGGTACGTTTACATGCGGCGCTAACTACACTATATTGACGTAAAAATAAACTTACTTGTACCACTTCATGATCGAAACACCAACAACACACAAAAAACAAAAATGACTGACTGATTCACACTACCGGTTAGAAAATATTCTAATATCTTAAAACAATTTTACACTCTTCACAACTATTTTCTCAGTGCTGAACTCAACCACGTTTTCAAATATATCCTCAAATTTATGAAGAAATTTAATGTCAAAATGTTTTAGAATTTTCTAGGTGTTCTAGGTCTATCATATTAAATTTTTCGGTCTTAATGTCTCATTACGACGGATATCTCCCTCTAGCAAACAAAAAATTACAATATTAGAAATACAGCTGTTAAAATGTGATTTTTTTTAAAAAAAAGGAAAATAAAAATCTTTCTACTTGCAATATTAAATATTCAAGAATATATTTTTAGCGATTCTTAAGCTTTACAATGCTATGTAATTATTAGGCAAAATGTAAAGCTTGAAAGGAACACTGATGTATTGTACAGTACATGGATATTCAAAATGTATATATAACAACACTATCACATTTGTAAAAAAAAGAAAAGAAAAAGGCATAAATATTTTTTACATTCCAATTCCAAAATCAAACACTAGAAGGCGCTCAAAAACTGAAATAGGCTTTTGCTACATTACGTTGACGTGATTAAGCTTGATTGTGTTAGGTTCTATTTCAGAAGTATGTTTATTATAATATTAAAAATAAAATTTTATATTTTGGCGTAATACGTATTTGTGAGATTGTAAAACTCATACTAGTAGTTTAAGCTTCACTTGATGTAATGCATCTCTTCTACTAATTAATAAGTTTAAGTGCTTTAAAATATAGAAATTACTGCACAATAAAGTTCACTTTAGTTTATAATAATCAAAAGCACTTTAACATTGTAACATAAGTTATGACTATATTATATTTATAATATTAATAGATCATAAGACAATACTTGAAACTTTTATAATAAAAGAGTAACATAATGTTTTGGGACAACATGGGACCTATTGCCATATTAGTCCACTCCGCTGTTCCAACCTCTAAACTAAATTAAAACTATAAATAAATAAAAAATATCTTAAAGCCAGCCCTTATCATTTATATATACTTGTCGAGCTTCTTCTTAAACTCACTTAAATTTATTGCCTCCACAACATCTGAAGGCAACCCATTCTAAAGGCCAACTACCCTGTTAAAGAAATAAAACTGTCTTAGCTGAAGATGACTCCTACCTTGCCAAAATTTATATTTGTGTCCCATAGTCGTACAATTCTCATTGTTAAGTATGAAAAAAGATGATGCATCAATGCTCTCAATTCCCTTTACAATCTGAAATACCTCAATCAGGTCCCCCCAACTCTTTTTTTTTTTCTTTCTTTATTCACGTGAAAGCAAATTTGAGAGATTTCAATCTCTCCTCGTATGACAACCCCTCCATCCCAGGCACCATTCTAGTAATCCTTCTCGGAACCCTTTCCAACAATTTAATGTCTTTCCTAAGGTAAGGAGCCCAAGACTGAACACAGTATTCCAAATGTGGCCTAACCAGTGACCTATACAATGAAAGTATAACCTTTTTAGATTTGTATTCAATATTTCTGTAGATACAACCTAAAGTCATATTTGTCCTACCACTAGCACATTGCTTGGATGGCTTTAGAGACTGATCAACTATCACATCAAGATCCCTTTTTTTCATGACACTATTAAGGTTATTCCTATCCAAATTATACTTATAATTCTAGTTATGATAAACTACATGCATTATCTTGCATTTATTATAATTAAAACCCATTTGTCATTTATTTGCCCAACTCGCTAAATGATCTAAATCATTTTCATCAGCAGCATCCTCTTCACAGCTGGCAACACCCAAGACCTTAATATCATCAGCAAATTTAAGTAATTTATTGATTATCCTTCATCTATGCCATTGATGTAAATCAATAAGAGCAATGGTTCTAAGACTGGGCCCTGACTTGAGACATTAATCCAGTTTGACTGGACTCCATTTATAACAACCCTCTGCTTTTTTCTATCCAGCCACTCTTCTATACAGTTTGCTAACTCATCCCCCACACCGATAGAGATAATCTTTTTGCCAGCCTTTTAAAATGTCTAAACTTTCCCATACCTTTTGGACATTTATTCAGAAAAATATTTACCTATGATTTCATAGCAAAAGAAATGTATGGGAAAGAGATAATTAACAAACTTTTGTTTATAGAAGTTACAGAGTTACATTACTGTTTGTTTTGGTCCCTTCTATCATTAAGGTACAAAGAGTATCACCTGAGAAAAGTACAATTTGAATCTTCTTTCAGGAATGCTGACAATATTTTTATAAATGAAGCCACAGTTTTAAAAAGGTTTTAAACAGTGATTTATTAAGGTTTGGATTTTCAAGTGTTTGATCTGATACACTGTGAGTCATAAATAGTTTTTGATGTAGAAATATAAACTTAGCACAAACATAAACCTACTCTTGAAACCACATATGGAATTAGACTGTTTAATAGTATAAACTTCTTTAAATTTTATGTATCTGTTCATGCTTGGAATATTTATATGTAACAGTTTTGGTTCATCAACAACATAAACCTTAATTCTGGAATATCTATACGAAGTACATAGGATGAACTAACTCGTTAGCCTAAAAATTTGATCACATGTTTGTAAATACATCTATTAATATCCTAATGCAAATAACTTACTTGATTTCAAACTTTGACTATTTCCATATTGACGTGAAATGCATTTCTTATGCTTACAACATACTTGTAAGCTCTATTGAAATAGTCCTCTAACAGCTCCCTGGTTGGCACTTAACAGTTTCAGGCTTGTTGGATTACTGGTGTTGTAATGGAACAATTTTAAGTGAATGGTTTCAACTCATTTAATTATTTGTTGAAAATTAAAAAATTAACTATATTGTACTAATAGTTAGCCTACTTTTGATTATTTTGTTTAAAAAACAGCCACTTGCAGCACTAGCAAGTTAGCAGTTTTCAAAATCTCTGTGATATACAAATACTTTTCCATTACTATAAATGTTTGCTGTTCTGGTTGATCAGTCTTGTGAGTTGTCCAAGCTATGTGCTGTTGTTAGTGGCAGGGCATATAGGATGTTAGGTTGTGTCTACAGAAATATTAATTACAAGTCTATAATTATAAGTTATAATTTCATTGTATAGATCATATTTGGAGTATTGTGTTCAGTCTTAAGTGCCTTACCATAGGAAAGACTTTGAATTATTGTAAAGGGTTCAGAGGAGGACTTCTAAGATGATACCTGAGATGGAAAAGCTGTCATTTACAAGGACAGGTTAAGACCTCTAAGAGTTAGAGAGGTTTTGAATGGAGTGTTTAAGATTTTTAGGTGAATTGATAGTGTTGATGCATCATCTTTTTTCATACTTAATGGTGAGAATGGTAGGACCAAGAGACACAAATACAAATTTTGGCAGTTTAGGAGTCATCTTCACTAAGACATCTTTATTTTTTTAATAGGATGGTTGGCTTTTGGAATGGGTTACCTTCAAATGTGGTGGATGCAGTTAATTTAAGATAGTTTAAGATAAGGCTTGATAAATACCTGAAAGATAACTGGCATTGAGTGTTTTATTTCTATCTTAAAGTTTAGTTTAGTAAAATGGCCTAGATGGACCAACAGGTCTCTTGTTGTCCTTATATTATATGTTATGTGAAATTTTAATGCTCAGTACAATTCCTTTAAGAAAGTCTGAACAAGAAACTGCATAAACCATTAGTTAAAAAAAGTGCTACAACAGATGATGCTTTTATAACGAAAAACAAATAGATACACAGTCTCAGGCTGTACTGTTTATATATAGACATTTCAATCAAGTGGTAGTATTAGGATTTTCTTGTATGTTACTGTATATTATGATTATGAAAAATAAGTTTGTTTGTATAGAAAATATATTAATGATATGCTTTAGTGCCCATTTTATGCACTAATATATATTATGTAAACAGTGAAATACAACTTTTACCATGATGTTATGGTTTTGAATGTGTCTGTCACTTTCTCTGTGTTATACAATTCATTCATCAAAGCTGTGTAACAAGTATGCATTCAGTTCTTTAGGTAATCTTTGGATTAGTGAGTAGTGTTACGTCTCCGTTTGTTAATTGATTTTTCCGTAACTTCGTTCCGACGAAATTTTAACGACACAAGTCTTTTCTTGATAAAACTGGTTTATTCTTTCCGAATATAACTTTACCGATACACTCAACTTCAACAATCGCGCTAAACAAACGCTATAACACGAACGTGCTCAATAATACTTCTGACTGCAGATCAATTACTCACTATCTACACACACATTACCTTCCTCGTGTCACGTTGTCCCCTCTTATATATACCAAACTACCCTATATCTAGCAAATACTAGAGCATTCGCCAAGATACAGGATAGTTCTAGAAACGGGGCGTCACTGTAGTCATGTGATCTCGATGACGCAACAGTAGTTTGTTTATTTTTCCATTTAATTTGGAACAAAAATGATATAGTTATATGTATGGTGTTAGGAAAACACATAGGTTCAAGAAATCAATTTAACTCAACTAGTATGCCCCTGAAGAAGAAAAGTCAACCTTACAAAAGCATTCAAGTTATAGAGTACCATATTTTTTATGTAGTTATATGCATAATCGAGCTTGAGTATTAGTGGAATTTGAAGTTGAGTAATAGGTAGGTTTCAATAATCAGTTACATCCAACTAATAAATAACTATGTCAGAAGCAAAACAAAAACAGGTACATAGTGGTTATCATGAAAGTAAATAAAACTTATAATGCTAACAGTTCGGTTTTGGTACTGGTGGTGGGCGGATACATATAGCTCATTATGTATGTTGTGTTTAGCAATAAACAAACATAATGTCAATTTTTTTATTACTGGGATAGTTGAAATTAAAATAAGAATTGGAAATCCTAATTTCAGTTGGTTCATTATTCTTGTGAATCATGACACTATTTGATTTGGCTGAACAAACTTGAATTCATTGAAAATATTAATAATAAGAAACTGAAATGGCAATAATTTGGTTATGGATAGGTGGAATAACATAACAAAATTTAAGAACAACAAGGGACCTGTTGGTTCATGTAGGCCATCCCATCCATTAAACTAAACATAAAAAACCACAACAAAAACTCAAAGTCAACCTTTATCATTCAAATACTTATCAAGCCTTTTCTGAAATTAACTGCATCTACACGTCTGAAGGCAAACCATGCCAGCCATCCTGTTAGAAAATTAAAACTGTCTTAACTGAAGTTGACTTCTTCCCTGCTAAAATTTTTGTGTTCCCTAGTTCGACCATTCTCACAATCTTAAAAATCTCAATTTAAGTCTTCTTTTTTTTTTTCAAGAGAAAACAATTTCAGAGATCTTAACTTGTGCTTGTATTACAACCTTTCTATCACAGGTATCATCCTAGAGTAGCCCTCCAATGAACCCTTTCAGACAATTAAATGTCTTTGTTTTTAGATAAAAAGCCAAATACCAAACACAATACTCCAAATATGGCCTAACCAATGACCTATACAATGACATTATAACTTCTTTAGTCTTGTATTTAACATATTTGTAGTTACCGCCTAAAATTTTATTTGACCACTAGCAACAGACATCGCTTCAATGGTCTGAGAGACTGACAAATCAAATTATGCTTATAATTCGAATTATAATCCACATGCATTACCTTGCAATTATTATGATTAAAAGCCACCTGTCATTTATTAACCCAGCTAACCTGTTGATCTAAATTCTTTTATAAAGCAGTTGCATCCTTCTTACAGCCAGCAACTCCCAAGATCTTAATATAATCAGCAAAGTTAAGTAATTTATTGACTATTTCTTCTTGTATATCACTGATGTAAGTCAAAGAGCAAAACTCCTAACACTGAGCCCTGAGGTACCCTATATATGACATTAATCCAGTTTGGCTGAGTTCCATTTATAGCAATCCTCTGCTTTTTTTCCATCCAGTCACTTTTCTATCCAATGAGCCATCTTATCTTACACACTTATATAGGTTATTTTTAACAAGCCTTTTATGTGTCACCTTGTCAAATGCTTTCTGAAAATTATGTTACACCAAATCCACACCCTTACCCTTATCAAAATAAGCAATAACCTCTCAAAGAATGCCAAAATATTATTTAGGCAATATTTTTTCCCTAATGAAACTATGCTGACTATCCAACAAACTTTTCAACTTTGTTAAATGACTTTACAAAGCTTTTTTTATAAGATCTTCAAAAATATTTCCCACTGCTGAGGTAAGACTAATAGGCCTATAATTACAGTTACAGGACAGTTTGTATTACCTCCCTTCAAAAGAGGAGTTAACTTTCAATCCCCTAGCATCTGCACACTATTAGGACTCATAAAAAAACAAAAAAGCAATAGCAAGTGGTTCACATATCCAATTCTTAACCTCCTTTAGGGGAATATTATCTGGTCCAGAAGCCTCAGCATTTTTTAAAATTCCCAGTTTTTTCTTAATAAGCTCAGAGTTAATGTGATTATCTTGTTTGCATGTAAGTAATCGAAAACAATATAATTTTTATTATATGATTATTTTCATGAATTAATTGATTTAATCATAATTTTGGTTAATATTTTATTTTACATCATGCTAATTGATGTAATTGCTGCTCATAAATAATCAGTTAATCTTTCACCTTTATTGTATATTGACAAATTCAGGTAAATGACAAAAAGGAAGTTATCAAAACCAAGCTTCTTGTTTTTTAATTTTTTTTCATATCGGCCCCCTGGTGAGCGAGTAGTAGGCTTAAATATTTGTAAAAACTAAAATCTGTATTCAATTCTCTGTGTTGGACAGGTGAATATAGTTTATTTTACTGTAGCTTTCTGCTAAAAACAACAACTTTTCATTCATATTCTACATTTTTGTATGTCACCTTTGTTGTGTACTTTAACTGATATCCAGATTTATGCAAGTTTAATACATTTCTATGATTATATATATCGTGTTAATTAATTCCACCACTGTAGTTTATTAATTCAAATCTGCCTAGAGTGAATTTTTGAAATAAATTGTAGATGATATAAGCAATTTATTTCAAATAGTTATAAACAAACTAAAAAAATCCTATTTATTTGTAGGAACTCATTTTAACTACATTAATCATAACATGCTATTTTCATATTTATAGAACATATAATGAGTGGTACTGCAAATCAGGAAACAAACACTTCCCAAAGTGTTGTCAGTGTGGAAAAGCAGAATAAAATATTTAAAATTATTGTAATTGGAGACACTGGTGTTGGAAAATCTTGCCTAACATTTCGATTCTGTAGTGGTTCATTCCCAGCAAAAACGGAAGCAACCATTGGAGTTGATTTTAGAGAAAGACTTGTTGAGGTTGAAGGTGAAAAAATTAAGGTAAGTGGACTGTGTCTAATTTTATATACCCATAACCTATAATAAGATGAATTCTTTATGAATCAGGTGTATGGAAACTCCTGTATGAAGAAACACAGAAATATCATATTTGTTCTTGATTGTTAAAGATTTACTTGAAAGAATATGACACATAATACTTAGTGCCAAATTCGGGAATTAATCATCACCAAGTTTAAAATTGATTTTAATTTCATCTTTCAAATTCTGTTGAGGCAGATCTGTACTTATTTTTGATCCCTTGATCTGTAATATATGATTAGAAATAGAGATGTGTTGAAATTTTCAGATGATTTTAAAGTCTGAATAGTTTTATTCACATTCATAAAAATTGGATTTAACCTAGTCAAGTCTTTAAAACAATAAATAATTCAGATAAGACAAACATTAAGTATGGTCTGGAAAAGTTACAGTAAAGTTCTATAATAAAATCAACGTGTGAAAGTTATGTGCATGTTTCTTGTAGTTAGACAACACAGTATTTTGTGTATGATACTCACCATAAAAAGATCATACCTCCTTTTTGTCTTCAAGTTTGGTAATTTATGGATTTGGTGATTGATTTGATTTTGACAAGTACTTCTTATATGTTTCTGTGAAATGTTATCCACTAGTGGCATGTTAAAGTTTTTGAAAAAGATACAGAATGTCAGTGTTGGAGCCATTCAATGATAAAAATTAGATAAACAGAGAGATAGACAGCAGCTTCTTCAGGTGTATCAAAGTGGAAAACAGCAACTCTACAAGTATATATATATGTATATATACTATTTTTAGTCTGAACAAGGGTGTGGAAGGTACAGTGATCACTATTTATAAAAACTATTAATGGTTGTTATTCCACTCCATTTAGAGTGAATGAATATAGACTTCAGGTCAGCTACCAAGTAGCAGACTTAATAAATTTGGATTAGGGTTAAATGAACCTACTTCAGCTCTGCAGTTAACCACACAGCTGCTGTACACTTCTTGTATACTATCCACAACAAGAAGCAATAACACTGAGTGCTTCTACTTTGCACAGAGCCAGAGGTTAATAGTATGCTTAGTCTGACATTGTGCAATCTGACCAATTTGGTAGCAACTCAGTTTTGGTGTGCCATAGAGCATCAGGATGGATAGATGCAAAGATACTTAATGTTTCCAAAGGGAGGATTTACTACTTGATGACATTTTGACATGATATTGGACACAATTATGTGACTTTTTTTTATACAATTAGATTGGTCTTTGTCTTGTTTTGATGCAGGATAATGCCTCATATCATATTACCAGTGTTATGATGAGCTATTTTGAGAAAGAAAAGTAAGAAATTGCAAAATTTTGGATTGGTAAGCAAGAAATCCTGATTTAAATCCCATAGAACACCTCTGATACATTTTTAAACATTGTATATGTTAATGTCTTAACCCATTACCTAACATTAGAGAGTTTGGTTTTGAACTGACTGATGAATGGACAAATCCATCCATAGCAGTGGTTTATGGTTCAATTAGAAATATGCTCGGCTAATAGAGAGATTTCATTAGACTCACTGAGCCCACACTTCTTATTTAGTATATTTGTTTGCCAAATGTAACTCATTAGATATATTTATTTTATAATATCCTAAATCTCAACACTAAATTATATTTTTGTAAATTTAATTTCACACACACAACTTATGATATCAAGGAATCTTTTTGTTTATTTCTCCATTCTGATATAATAAAACTAAAGTAAACACCTCTAATACAAGAAAGCTTCTGCTAGTGAAGTCTGCTGGTATGATAATGAGAGCCCCTATATGATTTATACGGTGCACAATGACAGATCTAACTAGTATTAACTTCTGATCAAACAAATTAAAATTAAACCTGGCAGTCAATATAGCTAATTAAATACACAATATAGATCAGAATTTACTGATTCTTTAGTTGGGTACCCTTGTTGTTAACATTATTTTTATTTGTAATCCCAATAATATCTCAGTAGGTTCCAGCAAGCTTAATAGATTTAGGTTAGTTCTAAATACACATATTAAGCTAACAATTCAAAACAATGTTTATAATAAAAGTAGACTGATAACAAAAAATGAAAAGTAATATATGTTCAATATATTAAACAGTATCACTAACACTGTTAATGAAAGTAATATTATATAAATAATACTGTAATATATGTTCGATATACTAAACCGTGTAACTAACATGTTAATGAAAGTAATATTATATGAATAATACTGTAATATATGTTCAATATATTAAACAGTATCACTAACACTATTAATGAAAGTAATATTATATAGATAATACTGTAATATATGTTCGATATACTAAATCGTGTAACTAACATGTTAATGAAAGTAATATTATATAAATAATACTGTAATATATGTTCGATATACTAAACCGTGTAACTAACATGTTAATGAAAGTAATATTATATGAATAATACTGTAATATATGTTCAATATACTAAACAGTATCACTAACACTGTTAATGAAAGTAATGGTATATAAATAATACTGAAATATATGTTCAATATACTAAACAGTATCACTAACACTGTTAATTAAAGTAATGTTTTATAAATAATACTGTAATATATTTTCAATATACTAAACAGTATAACTAACATGTTAATGAAAGTAATGGTATATAAATAATACTGTAATATATGATTGATATACTAAACCGTGTAACTAACATGTTAATGAAAGTAATAGTATATACATAATACTGTACTATATGTTTGATATACTAAACAGTATAAGTAACACTGTTAATGAAAGTAATATTATATAAATAATACTTATGGAACACAGAATCACTAGTTACTGGATTGAGATAAGACTATTCTAGATAGAGGTCGCAACTAGATGCACATGTAATTGTATAATATTTATTCATGCTATTTATAAATTTAAGTAAAAAATAAAACACCTACATAATATTGTGGTCTATATTCACCTATAAATGCATGGTGTGAAGATTGACTCATGATGCAAACCTACTATAAAATATGTTAGGTATAATATGTCAGCTCATATTTCATAAAATGATGAGAAACTTGCATTAATCAAGGATAAATGTTACCCTCAGACAGAAAATAGTTGTAGCGATTATATATAGTACTAGAATTGTTACACAGTGGTTTTAGAGAATGTTTATTAAAAGAATTATTGGAAGATATAACTTGGTAGGTTGTAAAGTTTTCCATAAATCTCAAGGAAGCTGGAAAATAGAAAATATCACTTTATGTGAAAAGCTTTCTAGAAAAGTGGTATTTTAGAAGGTGATTAAAATGTAACAAATATCTGAGTTGGATTCTCAAAATAAAATTGGAAAAATTTGTACTTTAAAGGCTTCGTGATCAGGTTGTTGAAATAATTAAGAAGAGTACAGCTTAATTCATATTTTATACTTTTTTAGTTATTTCTTAAACTTTCAAGAAAGCTCTAATCACTAATGCCAAATCTCATTCCAGCCAAACAATAATACATACATCTAAAATAACTCGAAAATATGACCTGCAACACAAAATTTCATATTGGAACAGTGTGATTTAAAATGGAAGTTAACTGACACATTTTTTATTGAAGTAATGTGACTTATAGTCTACAAGCCTCAAAAATTAACTTTTTACTAAGGGTCAAGAATAGCCATCTGTGACAAGTGTTTGAGTAACTTAGAGCTTTTAAGAACTTCATGATAATGAAATTGACTGACTTTTAAATAGGTTTACCTTTTAATGTTTCAGTCACACTTATAATTGTTCCAGCAATATGCATACTATTCTTTTTTAAAGGAAACTTTGAGGCTAGATTACTTGTGAGACTCATCCATGTAACATTTATATATAACTATTGCTAATAAAAGTTAAGTAAAAAATGCATTTGAAATTAAATTTCCAATAAAGTGTTTCTTTTTTTTTAATTTTAGTCAGTTTTACCTGATCAGTTTCTATTTTTATATGCATGATTTTCACAATGTGCATTAAAGTACACATTTTAAAAACACATCAGAACTGGGCAGTGCTTCTGCATATGAGCTTGATAAGTCAGATTTTTAATCTTATCATTTCATTATCATATACAGTTGATAATAAATGGAAACATTAGAAGTCTGTATAATGTGTAAAAATAGATCAACTTTGATGACGCTATTGTTAAATGTACTGTGATTGAAAGGAAACTGGTTTGGAGTTACGTACAATACATATACATCAAGTGTATTTCATTATCTATTACATCAGGTAGTCATTCGGAGATATTCTAGTTTGGCTGACATTTTCCATAGTAGCTATACATAAACTTGGGGTTCCTGGAGCATATCATTCAAAGCAGTTATGATCATTTAAAAAGCCTGAGACTTAGTGCCGTATGTTTGATGGCTATTACATGTGATTTACATGTAACTTTCAGTTTAGTTCATTACAATAATATTGGATTGTGCAATTTAACTTCAGAATTATAAGTCCACAAATGGTATTAGAATAGTGTCTGTGCACTGTAATAAATATTAAAAATGTCAGAAGAGAGCTGCACATATGTAAAAACATATATATATATATGTTTATTTGATAATAATATATAAATAATATATTGATTCTAACAGTTACAACTATGGGATACAGCAGGACAGGAGCGATTTAGAAAAAGCATGGTTCAACATTATTATCGGAATGTTCATGCCGTAGTTTTTGTATATGATGTAACTAAAATGGCCACATTTGAAAATTTACCACACTGGATAAATGAATGTTACCAGCATCAATTAAGTGCTAGCATTCCCCGTATTCTTGTTGGAAATAAATGTGACTGCAAAAACCAGGTTGCAGTAAAGTTGAACATGGTCCAGAAATTTGCTGACCCATACAACATGCCAGTTTTTGAGACCTCTGCAAAAGATGACAATGAAGCAGATCATGTGGAGGCAATATTTATGACTTTGGCTCACAAATTAAAGAACTCCAAACCAATTATGCATCCACTATCACATGATAGTGTTTCTTCAAGATCAGGCATTGTTTGTATTAATAAATCTCCTATTACATGCAAATCATCAGAAGACAGTCATTCTGCAGATGGTGGAAAGTCACGGTGTGCTTGTTAAGAGATTATATTAAAGTCAATAGCTTAAACTTCTTTTATTGTAACTTATAGTCATAATGAAATTAAATATTATACCTATTAAATGTAATTTTTGAGATATGTATGTAAAAACATAATATTTAAATGATTTAGAAGTCAGTTTTAGCATATTCTAAGATTTAAAAAGATGTGGAGCTCAGGCAACAAACAAAAATAAAGAAAATTATGAAAAGCTTCTGAAAGAAAATTTTAAGAGGCTTGAATGTGAATCTTTATTGTTTTATATGACTTAAAATATCATGAATTTGACTAAGAGTATTTAATTTATATAGATTAAATAAATTATAACATTATACTAATTGATGGTATTATCTGTAATAATTTATTACACTGAAAAATGATGTACAGAAAAATAATAGTCTGATAATTAACGTGCTCTGTATGATGTCCTTAGAGTTTTTTCTTTTTAATCTCAAGATTATTCCATTTCACCGTAGAAACTGTGCATGGGCAATAAAGTGTAACATAACTTGTTTTATCAAATGTTAGTTAACATTGTAGCTGTCTGTGTGTGTGTGTGTGAAATTTATATGTGCACTTTAAGGAACCAGAGTATACTCATTGAAAGCTGATAAAAATAGACATTCTATTAAACTGTAATCTCTGTATATGTATAAGATAAGAAGGTATTTTCAGTTTCTTTTCTTTGCTTTGTATAAGCAGCGGTCATGGGTGTAAAGCATTTTATATGAATGTTTATAGTGAATAAGTTATACTTTAAATCATCTTTAATATAATATTTTTATGAGTTGCAGTAATCTTTATTAATGATACATATATTGATGTTGTTATAGGTTTTATCATACTGCAGTTATTGAAAATATATATTTATTTAAGCTCTCAAACAGAAAAGATTGGGTGCAAAGTAGTCAGTCATTAGTCAGACAAGGGGCTTACCAAGACTGATTTGGCATCTCTTGTTTTAACACTCCTATTTAGTGTCTGAAGTTATTCTAAATAAAGGTATTTTTAGTATTTTTCCTCAATATTTAATTAGAAAATAAACATTTTATGCAGTTATAGTGAGATAACATTAATTATTAAATTTGATATATACAAAACATCTGTAAATATACAATATTTTTTAAATTTTTGAATGCATATTTATGAGTACTTTAACATGAAATATTACATTTGTCAAAAAAATGAAGGTTTAAAAGTCACATGATTTGTCCCAGTATAAAATAACATACATTTTTTATTATGTTCAACCTTGATTATGTAAATGTCCCAATTTCATATGTTGGCAGGATTTCAGGGATATTCTGATTTGAATTCTTATTCACTGTAATAAAACACTATCTCTATTACATTAGTAGGATGTACAAACAAAACTTACAGAAAAAGAATCTTATTATTTAATAGTATTTCATCTATCATTAATTGATACCAATGTCCCATCATTGCAGTTACCGAATGAACCAATTTTTAGGCTTTCTTGACATTCCACTTTATTAAAACCACCAAACTCTTTTAATAGAGCCACACATTATTTTAAGAAAATATTTTTGAAGAAAGTATGATGAGTAATTTTTTCCGGTTATTCACTTTTATTTCACAGCATGTAAATGAAGAATCATTGTATTAAAGGTAATAACTTGACATGTATTTCACTATTCTCATTATTTTTTAGATTAAGAGTATGAAAAACCATTCCAAAATCTTTATGTCATTCATATACTGTATGAGTAAAGCTTACATTTTACACAGAATTTAGATATAATCAAATGCACAGTCTTGACTATCTAGAGGTTATACTTCATTTATTAGTCCGATATTGTACATAGGTACTTTGTGTGATATAGGAATCCGTTATCCTAAAATCCTTATTTTATTTTTTTGCATATAGTTGATCAAAACCTTTAAGGTTACACCTTATATTGACACTAGTATGCATATCTTTATTAGCAGATTAGCCATGTTATTGTTATCTCTAGTATTTACTTTAGTCAAAGTAATGCAGTTGAAAGAAAATAAGCATTGAATTTTGTTTAGAAGACAAAGAAACTACATCTGCATTGTAAATTTTTGTTTTTATTTCTGTTAAAATGATAAACAGCTTATAATGTTGGTCATTTAGTACTCATTATTCAGCTGTCAGAAGTAAGTAGTTTTCTTGATTTACATGGAATGGTGAATAATATTTCTTTTGCATGAATAACTTTATACAAAAGGTAATATGTTAAATCTATCCACAGTAGGTAACATATGCTACATCTAATAGTGTCTAAGACAAATTCTTAAAATAAACTTCTAACAGTTTTGCATTTTTTTTCAAATTAAAAATGGCACCAAAGATTGCTACTGGCCCTGTGATATAATCTATTGTAACTTTGTTAAGTTATTTAGCATTTTAATATAATGTTTCTATTTTTACTTGTACAAAAATTCAAATTGAAATATTCTTTTCTTCTGGTGTATGTAGATTTGTTTACAGTTTCAAAAATGTATCTATGTAAAATACATTTGTAAAGAAATATGTGTGAGTAAATAAAAATATAGAAGAACTTTCTGTTTTGCCTAGCAGTGTATTTTTACACTCATAGGCATGGGACAACTTTTTCCAAAGGGGGGGGGGTGCGGTGGTATAGTATTGAATTGTGAAGTGAATATAAAATGTATAGACGTGCTGAATGGATAAAGAAAGAATAGTATTTCTCATTTTCCTTGCCCACCCCCTGCAGAACCCCATGTTTACACTAATTACAGTTCATTTAGATTTTTTTATGTGACCATTGTGTTACCAGATACATTTAAATGGTTGGCAATAGAAAGATAAAATTGTAGTTGACCTTAGTGACCTTCAAATACAGATCATGATTATTTAGATAGGATCAAAATCACATTATAAAATGTCTTAAACTAGCATTTCTCAAAATATGATACACTCCCCTTGGGTGTGGGTGTGTGCAAATGATCTCTTGGGGGGGGGGGTGAATGATTAGGGTAAAGTCAATAGTGCAATAATGCAAAATTAAGTGCTTTTAATATATATACTTTTATTGGTGAAAATAATAAGTAATTACTACAACACACATAACATTTTAATGCATATCTGTGGAGGACAAAAATTTGGAAGATGCTGTTTTAAACCAATAGTCATGATGCCTTGTCACATTGATGTGATGTCTTGAATATATGAAGTTAATTTTGTGAAGCCTGAAGACAAGGCTGAAAGATTTTGTGAAAATTAGCGTGTGGATTTTTTGTTATATCAGTAAAAGCATTTTTTTATTTTGCTTGAGAAATGTACACTGCATATAATATTTATTGAAATGCACATACTGCACATTGTTGTTTAAAGGAAAGATTCAAGTGTGGTGTTCTCAGGTAAAACTGATTTTTCCAAGATTGAATAAGGTAGGTCCACAGAATAATGGGAGATTTGATCGAGATATTTATTATGAATTAAATGTGAATTTTCTGAGTCTGACTGAGTTCATTCAAGACTGGACACAAGTTAAAAATATAAATGAAAACAATCTTTAATCAGTGACACCAACAAAGTGTGTATTTAACACGAGAGACGTTAAATACTGGAGAACTGAATCTATCTAATTCTCTTAAAACTTTACTGACCTGTTTCTCTCAATCCTTTTCTAGACTGAGAAAACATAATGATATATGCTTCAAACTATAACATCATTTTTTCCCAAGATGACTAGTGCTAACCACGTGATGGTCATTCCCATTGAACACAAGGATGGTTATAACCTCAAAATATCAGAAACTACCATCTACCTTCACATACTAAACAGAACTTTACAGTTAGCTTCCCCATGGGTATACAAAGTCTTATCTCTGATGAATGAAACAGAATAATAGGTAACTAATGCTAAAAGAACATAACAACTATCTTGACCAACATGGTATGTGAAAAATCACACATTCACTTTCACATATTCTCTATTAAAATAATTCTTTTAACTTATATGAGTTACTCTTTTCTTTCTGTGAGCACACATCTGATTACAGTTCCTTGCCTTCCCATGCACACATTCTCTTGAATCTCAGAAAATTATGATTCAAGATAATTACAGAATGTTTGCATGTTATAGTTAGGTTAATGTAGTAAACATCATGATAACTTGAAAAATTCTCACTTGCTCAATAAATTATTTTACATATGATACATTGAGAAGTACTTCTATGAGTGTTATTACAAATAATTAAAACATTAGTAATAAAAAAGTTATCACTTCTAGGAGACAAATTTCGACTGTGAGGTCTCAAAGGGCATAAAGAATACTGAAGACTGACAGCATAATCCAAAAAATTGAAGTTTCAACAACTTGCTAAAATCAGTCAAAGCAGGAAACATTTTGGTTTAATCAAACTTTAAATTCATAAAATTTCATCGTTCTTCTAATTAGTACTACAAAAAAGATTCATTTTTTTTAAAAACTAGATCATAATTAATTTTTCCAAATTAAATTGCACTATCTTAAATCCATAAAAGGTAAACATAAAAAAAATTTATGAAAACAAAATTAATAGATGGAGGTTTTCAGCATAGGCCATGAGTGCTCGTTAACTTTACTGTTGTTTTAGTGGAAAAATTGAAAACTTTAAAGTTTGAAACATATTTTTTATAGATTAAAAGTAGTTATTGATTATATAATAAAGGTATTTTTATTTCAATAATATAAGCCCCCCAATGGCACAGCGGTATGTCTGCGGTCTTATACTGCTAGAAACCGAGTTTTGATACTCGTGGTGGGCAGAGCACAGATAGCCCTTTGTGTAGCTTTGTGCTTAATAGTAAAACAACAACAAACAACAATAATATAATGATTATTAGGTATTTGTATCAGAATGATGACATCACATATCCAATATAAAAAGGTATGACTTTGTAGTACGTAATACAATACTTGTATTGTTGTGGTTTATATTTTTATAATTTTTAGTTAGATGTTTTTTCTCTAAAGCTGGGTATGTCAACAACTAAACACACTCATCTGTTACACAGTCTGAGTACGTCTACAATAAAACACACTCATCTGTTACACAGTCTGGGTACATCAACAACTATAACACACTCACCTGTTACACAGTCTAGGTACATCAACAACTACAACACACTCATCTGCTACACAGTCTGGGTACGTCAACAACTAAAACACACTCATTTGTTACACAGTCTGGGTACTTGTACAATAAAACACACTCATTTGTTACACAGTCTGGGTACATCTACAACTAAACCACATTCA